GTGACGGCCCTCTGTGTGGTGACGGCCCTCTGTCTGTGCGGTGACGGCCCTCTGTCTGTGCGGTGACGGCCCTCGGTTATCGCAGTGATGGCCCTCTGTCTGTGCGGTGACGGCCCTCTGTCTGTGTGGTGACGGCCCTCTGTCTGCGCGGTGATGGCCCTTGGTTATCGCAGTGATGGCCCTCTGTCTGCCTGGATTTCCGTGTTCTGACTTGGTACCATGCTTTGGGGGGCAGGGCTGATGAATTAGCAAGTCCAGCTCGCCGGCACGTTTGGCTTGGCTCACCGCAGTGGCCATGACGCCAAGCATCTGCCGCGTGATTCATGCTCCGCTCTGCAGCTGACATCTCTCGCTCTCTGTGCCTCTTTCCTCGTCGCTGTGAAGTTCTCCACTTTCTTCATAATACTGGCATTTCCACTAAACCCTGCCTGCTCTGATAGTACAGTAACTCTTAGTCAGACTTAGGTTAGCAGATACCACGAGACCTAATGTCTCTTTTGTAAATGTTTATATGATAATGTTCACTGTCACTTATTTCTCATTTCCCCAGCCTCCTCCTGTTTTGTATCAGAATGGAAATTGTGTGATTATGATACAAAGACAAAACAACTGTAGAATAAAAATTATGCTGTTTTATCACGGTAACCAGTCAGTTCATTTTTTATTCAGGTTATTATGGTTTTTATTCAGCATCATTTGCTTGTTATATTTAAATTGACGGCAACACATAGCTTAGTCTTTAATAAGGTGAATTCCGGAAAGATTTGCGTATGTAAATGTGTGTACGCAGTGCAATGCGTTTACGCAGTGTGACTGGCTTTGATCTTTAACTGGTCTAACTGGCTTTGATCTTTAAGATGACTGGTACCATCACCTCAAAAAGGAACAATAAAAATAGTGAAGAGGAGAGGAGAGGATTATCCCAGACATGATTTGACACGCATAGATGCTTGAGTAATTTGTTAACTGCTCTAAACTCCATTAGTTACCCTGCAGATTTTATCTGGAAATGGGTTTAACTGCTGGATTAACACCTTTTCGGTGAACACTTACTAGCGGTGTTAATAAACGCAGGCGGCTTTTAGCGTGATAGCGACCGGCGTCTGCTGCACAATGACAACGCGACAGGCTTTCCGGGGGGGGGGGGGATGCACTCTCCTCCCCTCATGCCAATAGATGGCGCTGTGATCCTTACTGCTCTTGATGATTGCTGTGGTATCACTCCAGACAGTCCGTCATGCACTGAGGGCTCATTGCTTATTTTATTTGTGTGAGAGATGATTTGATCTGGTCGCTATAAATTGTTTCGGTAAAACCATAGTAATTGTTGTTCTGCATATTAGCTGCTCAGTGAACAGCTTTCTATTAGGGTTAGTTTCACCTGGTGTCCCTTTATAGTGAGAAGTGACTTGGTAAAAGCCAGCGTCTTCTGTGTTATTACTCGGTTAGAATATTTATTACAATATCAAGCATATTTTGCACATTTTCTATCATCTGGCTCTCTGGTTTCCGGTTAACAGGAGAGGATGTCAGATGTCTTGCTCGGTTAATGGTGAACACAGGGATGGCTGGTTCCGTGGCCTTTTAATGCCGGATGTTAGACCTCTGAATCAAAGTGGTTAAGTCCCAGGCTAAGCTGTGAAACACGGCTTTGTTGCATGGGTGGGGGGGGGGGGGTGCTTTCCTGGTGCTTACTACGTCAACGGGGCCGAAAAAGTTCACCCGCAGAAAAGTGAAAAAGTCACTCCACTGCAGGGAAGTTTTCCGGGATTAAATCTCTTGAATTCAGCTGGTCATTATTTCCTGGTAAATCGCTGCCTTTCTCTGAAATCTCTCTGCGCCTTCACAGCCGCTGCTCAAAATTAGAGGTTTATTTGCAGGAAAAAAAATCAATTAGTGCTAAATTTATTCATGGGCTGCAGGCGCTGCGATCAATGTGGGTGCGCTCCGCAGACGCGCAGCGGCCTGTCGGCCCGGGAGTCGCCACTCACGCCCTGTCCCATTCCTCCAGGTCAAAGCGCAAGGCTCCCTGTCACTGACCGCCTCCCCTCTCTGGCTACCCACAGTGCAGCTGGACCCCCCCGAGCCCGCCGTCAACGCCTGTCAGGTGGGCCTCACCGTGGGATATTGCCGCTGCCTCGCGCTGGCCGTGGATGCATGTGCGGTTTGATGGGAATGCTGGGATCACTTGACGATGATATTTGTCTGAGCACACTCGCGTTCAGTCACATGACCTTACCGCATCACTGCCTGGATGTCTCTGATCCAAACCATCTGCTTTTATGCATTTCTGCTCTGTGTGTTTCTGTGTGTGTCCATTTTTACTCTCACTCTTTGTGTGTGTCTACGTGTTTCTGCTCTCACTCTGTGCATCTGTTTCTGCTCTCACTCTGTGTCTCTGTTTCTGCTCTCACTCTGTGTGTCTGTTTATGTTCTCACCCCATATGTGTGTGTGTTTCTCACCATGTGTATTTCTGCTCTCACTCCGTCTGTGTATTTCTGCTCTCACTCCATGTATGTGTTTCTGCTCTCACTCCATGTGTGTGTTTCTACTCTCACTCCGTCTGTGTGTTTCTGCTCTCACTCCGTCTGTGTGTTTCTGCTCTCTTTCTCTCCCGTCTCTCCCTGTCCACAGCAGCGGTAAAGATGCCAGGCTGCCTGATCAGAGCAGCGCAGTAGTATGCTGGGCCTCCTGTAGCCTTAGCTGCTAATCGTGTCCCGCTGCCAGTATGCAGGCTGGCCTGTTAATGATGGCTGCCAGGTCAAGGTTAATGTGTCGAGTTGGCTGGCAGCAGAGCTCTGGGGGCGCCGGTGGGCTGGGGCTGTGCCATTAGGCTGCGCGTGGGCCCTAATCGTGCCTGTGGGGGCGAGATCCACACGGAGAGGCTGGGCGCTGGAATTGACCCCAATTCAGCAAATCTGTGTGCTGACAGGCCGGGCACTCTGAGTGTGGTCAGGTCCATGTCTGCTGACAGGTCAGGTTCAGAAGCTCTGGATGTGGTCAGGTCCATGTGTGCAGTCAGGTTCAGGAGCTCTGGGTGTGGTCAGGTCCATGTGTGCGGTCAGGTTCAGGAGCTCTGGGTGTGGTCGGGCCCATGTGTGCGGTCAGGTTCAGGAGCACTGGGTGTGGTCGGGCCCATGTGTGCGGTCAGGTTCAGAAGCACTGGGTGTGGTCGGGGCCATGTGTGCAGTGAGGTTCAGGAGCTCTGGGTGTGGTCGGGCCCATGTGTGCGGTCAGGTTCAGAAGCACTGGGTGCAGTTGGCCCATGTGCGCCTTCTGGCGGCTGCATATTCTCAGTGTGGGACCACTCCCCACATCACAGTAAGATGTATGCACGCTGCTCTATACTGTCTAAAATATCTGTACTCTGTCTGTAGCTGGATAAACAAGCTTCTTCACTCCTGGCGGTGGCTTCCTGCTCTAGCTCCCTTCAACCATCTAATTACCCCCCAGCTATCATTACTGCGGCCCGCCAGCCTGAAAGCTGGGCTGTGCTGTGCTGTGCTGTGCTGGGCTGTGCTGTGCTGGGCTGTGCTGTGCTGTGCTGTGAGCGCTCAGTGCACAGTGATGCAGCCTGCTGATGGGTCTGGGGGTGGGTCAGGCAGTGAGGTCACAGTGTGTCTCCTGGTCGGGTCGTACCCCCGGCCTCGCCATGTGAAGAGGCGACACTAGAGCAGCGGGAGTAAGCGGGGTGAGGGTGGAGCTATTAACTCGTGTTACTTTTTGTCGGTTCACACGTTCCGGCGAGTTCTCTTGAAACGAGCCGGTATGTAAGTGTCCCCAAACGGACATGAGTGAGTAAGCGGAAGTTGCCTGGTTTGAATGCGGCGGCTTCACTGATGGACGTCTGTCCCGCAGAGCCTGGTCTCCAGCTTCGCGGAGCTCTTCCAGATGGCCTGCACTCGCATGGCGCTGCTGGAAGCTGAGGGCTCCTCCCTGCGAGCGCATGCTGCCGCGCTGAAGGCTGAGTTACAGGACGCCTGCCTGCGTAACGGCCAGGGTGTCCAGGTAAGAGCAGCTCGCAAGACTGTCCCCTGTCTGTCCTCTGCCTGTCCCCTGTATACCCCATGCCTGTCCTCTACTGCAACTCTACTGTGCGGCTAGTGTTTGCTGTTAACTTCTGGGAACTATTGAGACGCTCCACGATCCACCATTGCTCTGGAGTAAATTGACGCGACTCTCTGTCTACATGGCTCTGGTACCGAGCCCTCTGATTGGGAGGCGGGGTGGTACTGAGGCCACCGATTGGGACACGGGGTGATACCGAGCCCTCTGATTGGGAGGCGGGGTGGTACCGAGCCCTCTGATTGGGAGGCGGGGTGATACCGAGCCCTCTGATTGGGAGGCGGGGTGGTACTGAGCCCTCCGATTTTGACGTTGGGCAGTCCTGAGCCCTCTGATTGGGTAGCCAGGCCTCAAACTAATATGGCACAAATGGCCAGGAGTGAGAGTCGGCTGGTGTCCCCTCTCTGCTCATGAGAACCTGTAAGGGGGGTCAGCCCCTCCCTCTGGGCCAGCAGGGCCACTGGCCCATGAAAGCTTTTATCCATGTTCCTAAGGGCCGTTGGGTGGTCTTGGCTAGAGCCCGTTATTCCTCCGAATAGCTGATTAAATATTAAGCGACAGCAGTGTCTATTTGACCCATGTGCTTTCTGGCAAGACGGGGGGCGTAAGTGAAACCTCAGCAATCAATTTGGGTCGTGGCCCACCCTCCCCGGGCCCGCCCCCTGGCCCGCCCCGCTGAGCGTTAATTGGGTTTCCTTCTATGTGGGACGCCGCTGGAGGGCCACGGAGGCGTCTTATTGGTCGGTGGTTTGGCACAGTCGCCACCGTGTTGGCGGCGGGGCGGTAAGTGAGCTTGATGGATGTCCCAGCCCCCTCAGAGCCCCCAGTCACCTCATCCTCGATCCCGCTTGATTAGATTTCATGCCGTAAATGAGCTCCGGCGTGATCAGAGGTTGTAACTTTTAAGATGAGTCAAGCAAAACTAGGGAATGATGAAGGAAAAAAAACATGAGAGAACAAAGAAGAAGCAGGCTGGAGCTCAGAGGGTCCTGCCCGGGGCTGGCATCCCGGCCCTGAGTCCGTCGGGGCGCCGAGAAGAAGCATGTAAATGTCCTGCTTACAAACCAAAGATGCTGTGACTCTTATCTAACATCACGTGACATTCAGGGTCCTGGTCGCATACGTAGCTCCCCCCATGGATGATTGACTGCCCCATGATGGGCTGCGTGTTGCCCCGGGTGCTTCCTGCCCTGTGCAGGAGGTGGTCGTAGCCG